GGAACAAGAAAGGATTTAGATCCATTGTTTTTAGGGTCATAGAAGATGTAGTCATCTCCGAGGCATGTAACAGCCACCAACACCTTGTGGGGAAGCAGGGCTCTGCTCTCTGACTGTCTTATTAAGAACCTCTCATTCACACTATTATTCCTTCTCCCTCTCAATTTTTGTTTTCCCTATGCTCTCCAAGGCCTTTGGTTGTTCAGATTGCTTATAACTAGATCTTTTTTTTTATTTTATTTTTTAAAATTTTTTAGAATAACTACTGTGTTCCTCCTGGGGAGAGAGTAGATTCCATCAGTCTCTCTGGGTTGTCTGTCCCACTCGATATCCGAGGGACCGGTCTCTCTTGATAACATATCCAATTAAGTCTCCTGATGATGTTACCTATGCTTAAGGACATATCTTGAGATGGTTTTTTTTTATGAAAAATGGGGTACCGTTTCTCTTCAGTTTGCCATTTGCAACATAGTAGAGCATAAGTATGTCTGATGACCCACACCAGTCTGTTCAGTTCACTTTTTAATCTTTCTAGATTCATACTTTGCATATTCCACAGTGTGATTGTTACTGGATATTTTCAGGTGTTTCTTCTCATTTTTAGTTATATACCACCAGTGACTGTAGGTCTCCTAAGCTTTATTCCATTTACATCTTTAAGGTCAATTTTACTTCAAAGATGCAGCTCTTCCCAGTTGTATTTTGAGTCCCTTCCACCTGATGGTCTCATCTTTTGACATGATATCTGGCAATGTTCTGTTTCTATACATGAGGTGTTCACAGGTCTTTTTTACCCCATAGAAGTAGATCTCCAGATTTTTCTACTTAGTCTTGTCTTAATCTGGAAATGGTAATCTATCCACATTTGACTGAAATGTGCAGGATAGTATGAAAAAAATGAGTCCACACAGTAAAACAAACTGACATTAGCAGTGGAAATATATATTATTGTTGTTATGTGCCTTCAAGTCCCCTGTGACTAGCGACCCTATGTACAACAGTCCTAAACCCTGCTCTATCCTGTGCCAATCACACTCTCTGACACATCTACCCCCATTATCCCAGTCACTGAGTCAATGCATCTCATCAAGGGTCATCCTTTCTTGTGCTATCCCTCCACGTTACCAAACATGATGCCCCTCTCCAAGGACTGGTCGCACTTTGCAACATGTGCAAAGTATGTCAGACAGAGCTTCAAAATCTTTACCTCCAAAGAGAAGCCTGGTCTCACCCTTTCTAGGATGAGCCTATTTGTTCTCCTAGCAGTTCGTGGTATATTCAATACTCTCCTCCAGCACCACAGCTCAAAAGCATCAATTCACCTTCTATCATCCCTAGTCATTGTCCAGCTTGCAAGTAATTGCGAAGACCATAGCCTGTATCAGGTGCACCTTAGTCTCCTGACTGATGTCATTGCTCTTCAGTACTTTGGAGAGATATCTAACAGCAGACGTTCCCAATGCAGTTCACCTTTTTATTTCCTGGCTGCTGATACCAAGAGTGTTGATTGTGGAGCCAAGCAAACTAAAGCGGTCAACAATCTCAATCTCTTCACCATCTATCATGATGCTGCCAATCAGCCCAGTGGTAAGAATCTTTGTTTTCTTGATGCTGAGCTTCAATGTATATTGAAGGCTGCAGTCCTTGACCTTCTGCAACAGGCACTTCAGGTCCTTCTCAGTTTCAGCAAGTTGGGTTGTGTCATCTGCATAACACAGGTTGTTGATGAATCTTCCTCCAATCCTGATGCCACATTTCTCCTCATAGAGCGCAGCATCCTGGATAATCTGTTCTGCATATAGATTGAAAAGGTATGGAGACAGGACACATCCCTAGCGTACACCCTTCCCAATTTTGAACCATGAAGTGTTTCCTTGCTCTATTCTGATGACTGCCTCCTGCTCCAAATTTAGGTTTTGCATAAGCACAGTCAAGTGTTCTGGGATTCTCATTCTTCTCAGAGTCAGCCACAATTCGTTGTGATCCACACAGTCAAATGCCTTTGCATAGTCAATGAAACACAGATAGACATTCCTCTGGTACTCCCTGTTTTCAGCCAAGATCCTTATATTACTATTATAAATAACTATTAAATGTAAATTACAGAAAGATCTCTGGACATCTATGGAGAAATAAAAGCATAAATTTGACTACTTGAGATTTCATAGAATCCTATGGGGACGGAATTGTTTAGTATCCACTACAGAACATGATATTGCTCCATGGTTCTTTTTAATTCACATTTGAATCTCTGTATTCTTCAGAGATTTATTCCCTAAGGAACACAGTAACAAGAGACAGCTATAAAATCACAGTATCTGTAGAAATATTAAATATGTATGACCTATTATTCCTACAGGTAAGAGTGTGTGTGTGTGTGTGCGTGCACGCGTGCATGCACACATGCGTGTGCTTGTGAATGAATATGGTGACTCAGTTTCACTTACCATTTGAGAACACATTACTTGTTTAGGTTGATTGTATTTAGAAGTCCTGAATGGGAAAAGGGCAGATGTAATCAAGTAAATAAGAACCTTTGGCTGAATTACTCTGCTCCTACAGGTTCCTGTAAGTAAAAAGTAGTAACTGACATTATCAGTTCCATATGACCAGATACTCATATAAATATTTAAAAATATCTAACTAAGATTCTGAGACAGAGTACTATTTTCTAGCTTTGAGAAACTTTGAATATTTATTGTTAATAAATTGTTATTGTTTTGTGCCATTGGTTTGAGTATAGTGACCTCATGAACAACAAATCCAAACCATCTTTTCCGGTGCCATCCTCACCATCTCTGACACACCTGAGTTCATTGCTGAAGTCACTGTGTCCATCCATCCTATTGAAGGTCTTCCTCTCCTTTGCTATGAGTGTTGATTGTGGATCCAAGTAAAGTGAAATCCTTGATAAATTCAATCTTTTTTCCATTTATCATGATGTGTTTTATTGTTCCAATTTTGAGGATTTTTGTTTTACACTGAAGTGCTTGAATCACCTATTGAAATTTATAAATATGATACAATTTACCCCATTTTTAAATTCTTTTCTAGAACTGTTACAATAAATGACATTTGTGGTGTTTTTTTAAAAGAATTATCTTATTTAATAGGTAGAGATTTTAGAATCAATAGATAACTAGTTTTGTTTTACATATTAGCTGTCAAAATGCCAAAAGGGTAAGCTAATATTAATCCATTGGCTAGTGCATTGAACTTCAAGCCAGGTATTATTTATCTTCATTTATAGTTATTAAAGAAATATCAGATTTCTTGAGGTTCATATTTTTATTTGGCATATGTTTTGTAATCCTGTATAAATTTGATAATATCTTTCAGATTAATTTTTATTATCTCCAAAATAATGAAATTACCTACTTACTGTTAATTGTTATGTGTCATCAAGTCAGAACTGATTCATAGCTGACCTTCTAGTGGATTTTTCAGAGGCAGTACATTGCTGAAGTAGAGCTTACTCATCTTTCTCCTGTGGAGCAACTGTCAGATTTGAAACATGTTCTTTTGTATTGGAAGTGCAACTCCTACCAATTAATCCACCAGAGCTTCCAAATAATTAAATTAGAGAAAGTAAAATAAAACAATGTATGTTAGGACCAGCAACAGCTGCTATAGCCATAAGCAAACTCTCAGGTCCTATTCTATAGTTCTGTGCTTGGCACTAGGGGCACCATGAACATGGGTAACCATAGTGACTGCCATGACCAGGGAGATCACCTGAGATTGCCATGGAAGAAAAAGTTGTCTCTTCTCAACAATTAAAAAAAGCAACTAGTTGGAAGAGTAAAAAAGCTAAGATTATGGATAAATCCCCATAAATATTGTAACTCTGCCTTTAATTCAAGGTTACTTCTCATTGGTGAGAGAGGGATCTGACTCTTAGAAAGTGTACTGTGCTTAACTGTTTATATTTCTTCCTTTCACTAATAAACCTGATAGTATTCATTTTTGTTAATGTCTTTCTGTGACAACCTTCTCTAGAAAGAACTTACTAGTCCTCTCTGAGGCATTAGATCCTGTGAATCTTCTATACTGGAACCAGAACTGAACAATATATCTTTTACATTATGTAATAGGACTGCTAGGAGAACAAACAGGTTTGTCCTGGAGAGGGTGAAGCCAGAGTGTTCCCTGGAGTCAAGGATTCTGAAGCTTCTTCTGACATATTTTGGGCATGTTGCAAGGAGGGACTGGTCCTTGGAAAGGGACATCATGTTTGGCAGAGTGGAGGGGAAGCGAAGGAGAGGAAGACCTTTGGTGAGATGGATCGATTCTGTGACTGGAGTGGTGGGAATAAGTGCGTTTGAGATGACTAGGTTGGCACAGGATAGAACAGCATTTAGAGCTCTTGTACATAGGGTCACTATGAGTCGCAAGCGACTCGATGGCACATAACAACAACAACAACAATATGACTTAATATAATATTTATAATTATTTTAATTATTATATCCAATAATAATGGGATATAATAGGACATTCTTAGTCCTATTATTTATTAAGCTACCATTTTATCTAGATTATATTAGAATATCTCTCTTTTTTTTGGCTATTGTATTAACTATCCTTCCTGATATTGAATTAGTTTCTATTTTTTATTGTTGTTATTTCGTACCTTCAAAAACACTTTAACAGTATCTTAAAAATATAAAAAGAACATAATCTATTGAATTTTCTAATATTACGGCCAAAATCTGTATACCTATATATTGTCGTTGTGTACCCTCAAGTCAGAACCAACCCGTAGTTGACCTTGAGGCATTAAATAGCTTGGGAGGAAACTGCCCATCTTTCCATATTTGTCATAAGTTGCAGTATACTTGAAGGCATCTAGCAACAATATATGCCATTACATGTTAATATGCATTGACACTTGACTGTAACCTTTATTTATAATGTCTTGTGAAAATGGAGCCAGGAAATTAATTTCTTTAATGCAATTTTTTCATCACAGAATTTTTTGTTACCAGCTACACTGGCTCATGGATTCTCTGGCAGATGCAAACCACACTGCAGTGACAGAATTTATTCTATTAGGCTTAACAGAAGAGCCTACTCTTCAAATCATCCTCTTCATGGTGATCCTTTGCATCTATCTAGTGACTGTATCTGGTAATCTTAGCACAATCATTCTTATCAGAATTGCTTCTCAGCTTCATCATCCTATGTATTTTTTCCTCAGCCACTTGGCACTGGCTGATATAGGCTACTCATCCTCTGTCACACCCAATATGCTTGTCAACTTCTTGGTAGAGAGAAATACAATCTCCTATCTCGGATGTGCCATTCAGCTTGGTTCAGCTGTTTTCTTTGGGACAGTGGAGTGCTTTCTTCTGGCTGCCATGGCCTATGACCGCTTTGTAGCAATCTGCAGCCCACTGCTCTATTCAACCAAAATGTCCATGCAGGTCTGTGTCCAGTTATTCTGTGTGGCTTATGTAGGTGGGTTTCTCAATGCTTCCTCTTTTACAATTTCCTTCTTTTCTTTATCTTTCTGTGGACCAAATCAGGTCAATCATTTTTTCTGTGATTTTGCTCCTTTAGTTAAGCTTTCCTGTTCTGATGTCAGTATTCCTGCAGTGGTCCCCTCGTTCTCTGCTGGCTCCATCATTGTGGTCACAGTGTTCGTCATAGCTGTCTCCTACATCTACATCCTCATCACCATCCTGAAGATGCGCTCCACTGAGGGCCGCTACAAGGCCTTCTCCACCTGCACCTCCCACCTCACTGCAGTGACTCTCTTCTATGGAACCATTACATTTATTTATGTGATGCCCAAGTCCAGTTACTCAACTGACCAGAATAAGATAGTATCTGTTTTCTACATGGTGGTGATCCCCATGTTAAATCCCCTCATTTACAGTCTTAGAAATAATGAGATTAAGGGGGCACTCAAAAGACAGCTTGGTAGAAAAAGATTTTCTTAATAAAATTTATTTTGTAAAGTCTGATGCAGTAATACACTGTAAATATAATATTAAAGAAAATTTGCTTATGTTTTCCAACTATATGTGTCTATCTCTAGCTAATATGGTCTTTGCAGGAAATGTGGGAGTGAATGATAAGACAGTCAATTAGATATCAATACTGAGTTAACTTTAATGAAATTACATTCAATTTATAATCATGAAACATAAATTTATTCAAATAAAAAATTATAAATCTGTGGCAGATTCTTGTTAACTTTTATCTTTATACTGTTTTTCAAAAGTAATTCTAATGTGTTAAATCTGGGTGTTTGTACTTCCAAACCTTTAAGGTTGTGTTTATATTAAACAACAGCTTACACTGAGATGAGCCTAATAACTCTAATTAAGCCTTGATTGAGTACATTATGAGGTGAAATTAAAAGAGGGACCTAATAGTAAAATTGTTAGGGATGTTCTGCTTGTAGGAAAGTTAACTGCTAAATATGGTCTTTGTGGACTCAGAAAGTACTGACTTCTGTTCCTATGTTGACTCTGGCCTTAGAGATAAGAAGTCTGAAAATCTCAAAGTGTGAGTCTATTGTGGTAACCTGTGAATTGTTCAGTTAGATCAGAAGGATGAATTTCTTTGAGGAAATGAGAAGGGTTCTTTAAGTTCATCAAAGACTGAACAGGGAACCAAATAAGGATTTCCAGGAGACCCAAGATGCTGGAAGCCATGAGGCTGTGAGGAACAAATTCTAGGAAGGATTTGTTCACAGTCAGACCCACATCCTGTTCAAGAAACTCAAGGAGACAGTATTTCCAATCTGTGGGGGAAATGGGTTAAAAATTCAACCATTAAAAAAAAAGGTCTAAAAAAAAAAAAGGTCTACTAGCTGAAAATTTTACATAGGTTTTTATGTATAGGGGTCTTTGCTTTTTAATTGTTCTTTCCCTTTATTTTGGATTATGTAAATATTTTTAATGTTAAATTTTAATGTATCTTTTGGAATTTAACCACATACTACTTTTTTTTTTGAGAACTCAAAGAGGCTTTATTAAGGGAGCTTCCAGTAAGGATTCCTTAGTCTAGATAGAGAGAGAGAGACAGACCAGGGAAAGAAACCATGCCCTATGGTGGGTTGGGGAAGGTTTTTATAGTTAGGGTCTTTAGGGAGGGAAGGAAGGGACATTCCATTGTGGTTTAGCCAGGTAGGCAAGGCTGTTCACTCCATTGTTGACATGTTGATATTCTTTGAATCCTTTATTCTCCTCCTTTGACCTTGGTCTGGGCCTTAAATACCAGCCTGTTTAGTGAGGATAAAGGGTGATGTATCTTTATCATAGCTACTTCCTGCTTAACAGGGGCAAAGATCTGGGGCTCAGAGGATAGACTGGGTTGGTCCAGGACCAGTAGCCAGGGGAGAATATGGATGTCAGAGCAGCTGGTTCAAATTGGTCATTTCTTTTATCCTGTGAAGTAAGAATTCAAAGAGGCAGGGAGCAAATAGTAACAATATGAATATCTACTTAGGGCTTGGGATCTGAATGAGGTGAAGAGTAGTGGGGCCCACCATTTGAGAGATGTAGGAGGTCTGTTCAGTGAGAGCAGCATGTTTGACCTGGAAAAGGTGGTGCTAATGGAGGTCACCTATGACCTTAATCGCTGTGGGAGTAGTTAGGATGACTGTGTTAGGTCTGTCATAGTGTGGTTGAAGAAGTTTGAGTGCATGTTGTTTGATGAAGATGGTGTCTCCCAGGGCAAATTCAGTTGTTTGATCTAGACCTTCAGGTGAGGGTCTGGATATGCAGTAGTCTGCATGGTTTCCAGAGTAATTGTCTAAGGAGGGAAAGATAAGGAAGGAATGATGCTAAAAGAAGGGTTTCAGTGGGTAGCTTACGGTTGAGCAGGAATGGTCAGTGATATATCAGCTTGAAGGGGCTTAAAAAGGATGATGAACAAGGTGTTGCTCAAATATGGGCTAAGGAAATAGGAAGTAAGTTATTACTTTCCACACTCTATATATGAGAATGATAGCATAGGCTGTCTGATGGTAACCTTCAGAGGTTGTACAAGAGCTGCCATCAAAAAACAGTATGGTTTGGATTAGGGATGGGTTGGTCAGATAAGGAAGGAAGTAAAGAGCCCATATCTTCAAGGACTTCAGGGGAGCTATTGGTTGAGGTATTCACTGGAAGTAACGGTGGTTACTGGAGGGACGGTGGTTGAGAGGCTAATATCAGGGTTCTTGAGAAAAAGTAGATGGAGTTCAGCTCTTTTAACTGGTAGGATCGGGGTTTGTGGGGATAAGAAACTTATTGGAAAGTAGGCAAGAAATGATGGGTTTTAAACCTCTGTGGTGTTGTGCAGAGATAGGGAATTGGGGTCTAGCAGGAAAAGAAGAGGGATCTTTCAGAGTAACAAGAAAAGGTGGTGGCAAGAGGGTACAGATGGAGTGGAAAGAGCCCATACAATGGGGTTGACAACATCTTGTGATAGAGGTAGTGTACAAAGGGGCTCAGAGGAAAGGAGCACTAAGGGGGATAGAACTAAAGGGTGGCCAGGTGAACTAGTTTTGTTTGACTCTCAGTGAAACACAGTTCCAAGTTTAAACAGGTCTCTACCTAGAGATGGAGTTTGGCATGTAGGAATAATTGGAAAGGAATGGGTGAGTACTTGTTTATTGAAGGTATTTAGGAAGGGTTGAGTGGTAAAAGACTTAGAAGGAGACCATCAGAAAAAGGCTTAGAAGAGAAACCATCAATCTCCATTACTGAGACCTGGGAAGGAAGAATAGGACCTGAGAAGGAGGGGAGCACTGAGAAGGTAGCCCCCATGTCAACCAGAAAGGAAACTGGCTTACCTGCTACCTGAAGGATTACTCTGGACTCAGCAGGTGTTATGGGGGTTGTTGAAGCTGGGCATCTTCAATCTTCAGCAGCCTGGCTTAAGAGGTTGGCAGGGATGGGGACCAGGTTTGGTGGAGGCGCTGCTCTACCGCAGCAGGCACTGAAGGACAGCTGGCCTCCCAATGATCTGGTGTCTCACAGATAGGGGAAGGGCGTATTGGAGGGCAAGGGTTAGGGCAGCAGTTAGTCCAATGACCCTTTTTGCCACACCTGAAGCATGCACCAGCTCATTGAATGAGGAGGTGTTTTCTGACCACTCAACATTGCCACTGGCTGCAGAGAAACTATCAGAGCTTGGGTCTGCACATTTGCTTTCTGACGGGCACAAATCTCCCTATCAGCCTCTGCCTGTTCCTCTCAGGCATTAAAAACTTTAAAGATCATGCTTATTAGGTCTTGAATGGGTGTTGGGGAGGGGCGTCTTTAGCCTTTTTTAGTTTCTTCTTTTTTAATAAGGGCTGACTGAGTAATAAAATGAGTAGCTACAATGGTGGTCTTTGCTGGGAGGCAGGTAATTGTACAGGGTTGTTTTTTAATGTCTGTAATAGTAAGTTGGAAGAGGGAAATAGAATAGCTCATACTAGTGTCCAGAAGAAAATAAATTCTTTCTACTGGCAATGTCTTTTTAATGAGACAAGTTTATATATAATTTCTAGCAGCTATTTTTTAAGTTCAGTTTTTTAATTGACAATTTTTAAAATATACAGAATGTATGAGCTTTAAACTAGTGCTATAGTAAACTTAAAACAAAAATGAAGAGATAGCTTATCCATAAAGAGTGTGTTAGAAAAACAGAAGAGATTATAACATTTAAGCCTTTTTTTTACCTTGAAAAGAGAAAAAAAAGGTTTTGGCAAGAAAGAGAAAGAAGGGTGTTGTTGGATAGATTTTATAGGAATGGCTGGCTGAGTTTTGATAGAGGGTTTTGATACTGGAATGGGGTAGCAGGTGGTTTGAAGGAGAGAGGGGAGGGGCAGAGAAGTTCAGTCCTTTCATCTGTGATATTTGGTCTGGAGGCTAGGGGAGGATGGTATGTGGGATTATTTACTGGGTGGGGTCAGGAAAATGAGAGAGATGATGTTCTATCTGTGGGTTAGGGTTGGAAAAGGAAGGTGATGTTTTAGTTGCAGAAGATTTGTTTAAGATTTCTTTTTTAATTGGGAGGTTAGTTAAAAAATTTGGCTGCAGTTTCAGGCTCTGTCTGGGAGAGGCTAGAGGAAAGCATATTGCCTATGTAACATTTTGCAGTTTAAAACCAGTCTTTTTCTCATAAATAAATCTACTACAATTGATGTAATAGAAATATTTCAAAACATTTCATTATTTCTTTTCAAACTCATTATTTGCAGGTATTATAAACCACAGCAAATAAAATTCACTTCCCCTCAAGCTTTATACCACTTACTACAACCTTCAAATTTAGCTTTTAATATCTTTCATATTCTGGCACAAGCAGACATTTTACTTTAAAGCAAAACTACTCTCATTTCCCCCCTTAAACAAAAATACACAAAACTTATTACCAGTTATTTTGCTTTGCTTTCTAACTTTATTTTCAATGTAGTTTTTGTTCAGTAGTCTGAATATACTAAGTTATTACATGTGTATTCACCACCCCAAAATGCTACATTTTAATAACTGCAATTTTCTTAATTGGCTCAAAGCCGTATGGCTTGGTTTCACTTGGTAAAGTTAATATGATTTAAAAATATAGATACATATGGAAGAACAACACTTTTAAAAGATAGGCCAATTGGAAAGGGCAACAAAGTAATACTAAAAGCTACTTTAAGAGAACCTTCACAGGCTGGCAGGATTTACTCAGAGAGAGAGGCCAGAACGAAAGTAAAAGTTTAGATGGGGTTTCTGGCTATCTCTGAGTCCATTGGCAGAAATTGGCAAGATCTCAAAGGGTATTAAAATAGAAAGGTTCTATTCTAAGGCCATCGAGAGTAATTTTTTAGCTGACATTGTGGTTGTACTTGGTTATAGTAAAAGATTAGTCTCTTGGGACTGAGGTCCTCAGCCAGGCACAAGTTTGAAAGATTTGAAAGGAGGGAGCCCAATGGACTGTCCCTTGGAGGGTTAGACATTTGGCTACCCATGGT